GTTATATATTCAGGTACATTATGAGTGAAATATCGATTTTCTTCAAAAATATGAAAAGAGTTTTGAAACACAGAACGAAAATTATGACATATTTCATCGTATTATTGATAGTACTCATGTGGAATATTGAAAAAAGTTACATGAACCTCCCGTAGTGAAAATTTAAATAAATTTTATTTGTATTTTTCGATAACGTTTTCTTTATTGAATGACTTTGCAAAATGAAATGAAGGTTCAGTAGAAATTTCAGCCGACTGAAATCTCATACAGCCTCTCCTAGTACTAAATAGTGCCTAACAGAGTAACACTACACTTGAAAAAATGAAGAATTTTCACGTATAGAAAATAGAATTTCCTTACCTCACGAAAACAAACTTCAACAAATGCTGAATACGTATACGATTATTATTTATGAAATATCAATGTCAGAATATTAAAATTCTAAGCAGAATCAATATTCATATCACAAAAAATTGCACCTCGATTTCGAATATATAGCTTTTTCTTCAATATCTCATTGGACATATGTGGTAAACTAACCGTAACCGTAACTTTCAGCAGAATGATTAATAATTGACGAGGATGGGATGTTTTAAATATATCGCCACTAACTTATGTGGTGACGGAAAGATATTATCTCTATCTTCATCATTTTCATCACAACTGGCATTGATAGGTAGATAATGTGTTTACTGATCATATTGAGTGTAAGAGTGGAAAATTCCGTAAGAATCCGGTATACTTATGTATGAATTTTCAACTAAATTTCATAATCAGTTACTAGGGGTTTGTTTGAAGGTGATTGACAATGTTTCGTGATGAATTTCACTAGTTCGGACTTCCATTGTCTACTTAGCAATTCCCTGACAGATTGAGTAATTTTTGGCGGGGATTTCTTGAACTATGCTAGGGCCGTTGAGAACATAAGAATTTGGTCACTTTTGATCTTTTGATCTTCTTCATCATGGAAGATCAAATATATGTCTTTGATGATATTAGTATGATCCTATATTTTTGGTTACAAAAATAATAATGGTATTTTTCGAGATTTCTGTCGAGAAAAATCTTCAAACATATCTTCAAACCCAATTTTGTGAAGCATATCACTTTTTATTGCACATAATTGACAAATCCTTCAGTCGCACTTTTTACATTGTTGTTCGCAATTCAGTTTTTGTTCTCTTAAGCTCCGAAAATCAACAATATCCACTACAATTTTTAACAAATAAGTATAGGAATATTCTTGTAGCAACTTCAACATATGTAAAATTTTCTTCTGATTCATCTGAGTTCATTAGTGTTTCAAGGGCAGAGATATTCGAATCCGCTGATTACTGAATTGGCTTTAATGAAACATTTTGTTTTGGGCTCATATGCATTAAGGTGTCCATGAAAAAATCTGCAAATTCTTTGCATTTTTTTGGTCAATCCGCCAGATTCCATTGTTGTTAACTGACAAAGAAAACTAAATCGTTTATCGATGTCTTGGTATGCTGCCAAACATTTTTTTGAATGTGTATTTAATGTATCAGTTAAGGGAATGGAATTATCTACACAAAACTTTTCCTTGTCTTCCAACTGTATAGTCTCTACTGATCCTTTAAAAAAGTGATG